TGAACTTTTCCACGACATTCTAATTGATTGAGATGCACCTGTAAGCCTTTCTATTTCTTGAAGTTCTGCTATAATATAAAACTATTGATGTTTAGTAGGTGAATCTCCTGTTACTATTTACAAGTAACTTTTTATAGTTACTTGTAAACCAACTTGTAAATATTTCCCAGAAAGCTTTTGTCCACATCCCAGTCTTAATAGCTTGGCTGATTTATCCTGTCTTATGACTTGTGCTGTTTTCCCAGACAAACCCAGGGCTGAGGATGCAAGAGAAGGGCTGTGTGACACCCAGATGGTCTCCGCAGGAGGCCCAGAGGAAACTGATGAAGTATGAAGGGTCTTACACACACACACACACGGTTTATGTACACAGGATGTTCCGCAGACTTCCTTTTAGACCCCCTCCTTGCAGTACTTTCATTGTGTTGGTCTGACAGAGAATAACAATTTAACTATAACCCTTTTTTTATTTGCCGCATGACGTCTCGATTGTTTTTATTTGGGAGCAATATCCTGTGATTTTAGGTCATTTCAGACCGGTCACTGCCTGCTCCTCTTGTCCACTGAAATCTTACTCCTCAGGGAAAATACTTTTCTCACTGCTGTTCTTGCATTCTCGCATCCATCAGTGTTGTTATTGTTTTTCATACAGCTTCAGCTCATTCCATGTTCAGAGCTGCTCCCTGAAGTGACCACACACAAACCTGCTGCTGAGACTACTGACAGGTCTGTTTACTTACTGTAGACATTTGTTATTTAAACTGTGTTCATACGAAGATCTATTGTATTCAAGCATTTTTCATGATTGGGGAACAAAGTAGAGATTTAAAAAAATAGATAAAACTTACTATATTCAAAGCTGTATTGATTTACAATACAAAATAGCTAGATATAAAATGGGGTTTACAAATGTAATAAAATAATAATACAAAAAAAATTTAATGTAAGGAAAAAAAGGTAAACGTAAGAATGTAAATGAGGTAAAAGTAAGAATTTTATAAAAAAATTAATTAGCAGATAAAATTCATCATATCTTACATATCACCTTCTCCCTGAAGGTCATGAGATGTGTGCCTTTATTGCACACTTTTATTATTACATTATTAAATTTGTGACTGATTTGATTTCTTCCATTTTGCTTTTTCAGTGTCTCTGAAGTACAGCAGCCTGAAAGGTCTCGTTTGACAAGCAATAATGAGGTACCAACTTAATCTATATGAGAAATTATGAACTAGATATGTTAATAAGATCCTGTTAAAAAAAAAGTTGGAGATTTGCATATTTAGCTTTCTGGCACCCCCTGTTGGTTAAAAACTCCACTTGCACACAATAATGCCACTGTTCTCCTGTAAGCACA